TCACCTCGTGAGTATGGTCTTCAGGACAAGAACCGCAAAACGTGTCAGTTTTTGTAACTGCGGTGGAGAATAAAGGTGGGCGTGTGGGGAGGTAGTATTGTACTGTTTTCTCTACCGCTTTGAAGCATTTAAATAAGCATCCTATAAATGAAAAGAATATGTTTGGCCGCCTCATCTGCCAAGTTCGTGTCTATAGACCCTGCCCTTGCTGCCTTATTAACGGCCTCATAATATCATTGATACATTCATAGACTAGAAGGTGCGCCGAAATATTCTAGCCAGCCAAATATCAACCAAAAAAAAACATTTACCACTCCTTGTTTCTTTTTCTTTTTTTTTTTTTTTGAGGACAGAGTCTCACTTTCGTTGCCCCAGGCCTAGGCTGTGAGTGCCGTGCGTCAGCCTAGGCTCACAAGCAACCCCAAACTCTGGGCGTCAAGATCTCTGCCCTTCAGCCCCTCCCGGAGTAGCTGGGGATCACAGCATCGCCACCGAGGGGGCCCGGCGATTTTTCCATAGTATATATATAGTGCCAACTTAATTCTTTGTTACTTATATGTACGCATACCGCGGGTCTCAGCTCTTGCTCAGCGGCTGCGTCTCCGAACGTCCCGACCGTGAGCAATCCACCCACCTCGGCCTCCCAGGAGTGCCTGGGATCTACAGGTGTAAGCCAGCCTTCTTTCCATGATATTCATTTTGTCGGCTAGGGAGGCAGCCACACCCAGTCGTGGGACTACATTTCCCAGGATCCCATTGCCAGCCAGGTACGGTCATGTGACCACAAATTGGCGGCGCCACTATGTAATACAGATCTGGCGTTTTGTATAAAGTGGTTCGTGCCTTCTCACCGTCTCTTTCCTCTTCTGCCTTGTCTGCAGAAGTACTAAACACCGGTATGACTTAGCCTACAAGACAAAAGGAGGCCTGGGGGTGTGGAATCTCTGCACAGCGAGAAAAGGCCATCCCCACTGGGGCAGAAACATTGGGCACTGAACTGCCCATGTGAACAAGAATTAAACGTTTTTTGTATGAGGCAACTTCTTTTTAGTAAGGGACTGACAGTTTGGGGGTTATTTGTGACATCAGCTAAGGTTACTGGAACCAACTCAACAATTTATCTAGCCGGTCCCCTTGTATGAATAAACATTTGGTTTATTCGAGGGGAGTATTACGGTGCATGTCCTTAGATACACAGATATCTATGCACGTTACAGGAACATCTCTTTGGAATAAATTTCTAGATGAGCCTCTAATGTGCCCAAGTGTACATGCATTTTTGTAATATTTTATTAAGTATAATATGTGTAGAAAAGGTATTGTAAGTGTGTCGTTCAGCAAATGAATTCTCACTAAGTGGGAAGATCTGTGTGTTTGCATTTTTAATCCTGATAGTGCCCAATTTTGCTCAAATATAAAGGCTTTTTGTTGTTCTTGTTTGTTTGTTTTTTTTAAAATGTTAAGCCTTTTGAATTTCCATTTATAAGTTCATCCCTCTAGCGTAACATTTCTCACACTCTCTCTAGGTAGCATATGATCCTCCTTTTATTTATCTGCCGTACTCGTGTATTCTGTGCCAGGCCTGGGCTGGGTCTGGGGCTGTCAAAATTAACACAGCCTCTTCCCTGCCTTCTACTTTCTGGGGTCAACAACAACAACAACAACAATAATAATAACTATTTCATTAAGGTGGCCCCATTTTGAAAACCTATCAATGAGATCTTTCTCTTTTCCAGTTTTGTGGCTGTGACTGCCCCCAAGCATTCTGCCCAAGGGCTTCATCCCTTTCAGAGAAACATGAAGACGTTTTAGCGTCAGACACACAATGCATGCAGAACAGTCGTGTGCCTGCTTTAATCACCAAATCGGATCACGGAGTTCTCGGCAAGACAATAGTTTCGAAAGCAAAAACTCGCAAAAAAAATAAATAAACAGATATCCATGTCCCTATCTGTTAATATTTCAAGAGCCAAGCTGGGAGGACAGGAAGGGAGCATTTTCACTGAGGACGCGGGAGATGAGATCAGAGTATCGCGATATCTATCGCGTGGGGAAAGTTCATCAAGGGAGATCTGCGTGGAGGATTCTTGTTCCTCAACCCCTTCACTGCAGGGCTAACCCCAGGTGGAGATGAGTGACCTTAGAAGCTTCCAGATAGGAATGGGTGAATCCAGGGGCATGAAGGCATGAAGGTTGATTTCTCCCAATAAAGGGCAGGTGGAACTTCCCAGTGTACGAGAGAAGCCTGGCTTCTTCAACTGCCACATCCAACGTGGTATGTGTGGGATCAGAGGTTTGGAATCAGTAGGGAAACACAGCTAGCAAGTGGCCCAACAAGACTCTTCTGGTGGCCGGGCGGGGTGGCTCACACCTGTAATCCCAGCACTCTGGGAGGCCGAGGAGGGAGGATGGCTTGAGGTCAGGAGTTCGAGACCAGCCTGAGCAAGAGCGAGACCCCAGCCTCTACTATAAATAGAAAAATTAGCCGGGTGTGGTGGGGCGCATGCATATAGTCCCAGCTACTGGGGAGGCTGAGGCCGGAGGATCGCTGGAGCCCAGGAGTTTGAGGTTGCTGTGAGCTAGGCTGACACCACTGCACTCTAGCCCGGGCAACAGAGCAACATTCCATCTCAAAAACAAAAACAAAAAAGACCTCTGGTTTCCCGTAGCCCGAGCGTGGGCCCAGGGTCTGCCCACGGACCCCTGGGAGATGCAGAGTTTCCGAGGGGGCTGCTGGGTAACCAAGGTGGCACCACACACCCCCCCCCCGTAGATAAGACACCCCCTTCGGAGCCCAGCCGCTCCCCTGCCTCCCGGCTACCAGATCCCATCAGCTGCCCCCACACCAAACGTCCAGGTGCCGTCTTGGGCAAGAGCAAGGGGAAACAAGAAAGCTCGAAAAATTAGTTTTTCGTACAACAGACACTGGCTTGCCCAAATGAGACTGTTGGAACCACGAGTTGGAGACGCTGAGGGCGATTAGGAGCGGACAGTGTCTTTCTCCCTCTATCCAGAGCTTACGTGGAAGATGAAAACATTTCATGACACATAAAGGAGCCACTTGTTCGTTTCTTCCGCATGGAGTTGCGGTCTGAGTACATTCCAGCCCTACTCCTCCTCCACCGCCATTTATAAAGCTCATACAACCCACGAGGTGGTGGACAAAGTCACCTCTTTGGAATGAAAGCTTCACAACATCCTTGGGGGACAGGAATCGTTGTTATCTGTATTTCACAGCTGGGGACGCTGCAGATCAGAGCGGTTATGTGACTTGCCCAAGATCACACAGCAATTCCAGAGGAAAGAGCCGGGAGTGGGAATCAGGGGGTCTGCATGTTAACCCTTGTTCTGTCGCTAAATATGTCCCCGGGGAACGCCCTCCACCACGTCAGGCATGTGGATTCTCTTCAGCCAACTTACCCCTTGTCGTTGGATCCACTGCGGACACTGTGTGCGTTTTCCAGCTGCATAGACCACAACACCCTGTGAAGACAGAAATGAAAATCACCATGAACCACCACCAAAAAAAAAAAAATATCCCTGACTTTATTCCCTACTTAAGAGAGGAGATCTCTGTGTTCTTTTTTTCATTTGTTTCCCTTTTCTTCTTTTTTAACTTTTTTCTGCCT